GAGGTGTTGGTGTATACGTAATTTAGTAAACTAGTCCTCTTGACTACTAAAAAAAGCTCAGGTTGTTTGATCAAATTATACAAAAGTTATTCAATTTTAAATAGCGTGAGTTTAGTTTTGCTCTTAACTGTATGTTAATGATCTTTCAGTTGTTAATTTTTATCATATAAGAAAGTCTTGCTATTATGGATGGGCTATACGAATATAGATAAAAATGTAATTTAAAGTATCCAACGCCAATGAAATTCACAAGATTAGTATAAATGAAATACAGTTTGAAATAGAATAAAGGTGTGAGGAATTGAAAGGGAAGGATGCTGGAGGGAAGAGATCCTTTACGAGTCTCACGGTATTGCACGCAGGGACCACGAATAGCTTCAAAGTAAAACTTTCCCAAGACCGTTCGCATCCCTTATCTTTTATTCCCGAGCAAAATCCCTCTCCGCTTCGTAGCATTCCGAAAGTTGGCCCGCGAGATTCCCACCATCCTTCGATTAACTTAGAAACGAGCGAACGTGCCTTTGTCCACGCCCGTTCCAACCGCTGAAACTTCATTTTTATCGCATTCAAAGCGTGTACAAAAATTGTATCTCGCATTCGACTGACGGAAATCGCCCTCGAATGAGCCAGTTACCAACTTCCTTGGCTCGCACTGTAGCAAATATCGCATATTACCTATTTTCGACTTTTCAAAACGGAGCGACAAGAAGGATGAAGAATTCGTATTTAAAATTCAAACACGCTTGTGCATTTGTTCCACAAATTCAATTTTCAGTATCCTCGATGATTTATCACCTGCGAAATGAGAGACTCTCCGTTCGGAACTTGTCTGAAAACGCTAATTCGCTTTAACTTTGTGAACGTCGATGGACTTGTTAACTTCATTTCACATTATTTATATTTTATTTGCCTTTTGAAACGTTTCGTAGTTTTAATATCGGTTGAGCCATCTCTGGTATTGGAATCGTTATCAGGAGCTGATTAGTAGAAATTCTAGTTTTATGCATCCATCCAATAATCCGGGGTTACCGTACCCGAGTTTCATGAATAGGTGCGGTGTAGTATTCTCTATGGTCGAAGGAAAGCTTAACAGGGAGCGGCTTTTAGCTTTGACGCGTAATTCCCGAACGTAGCGTGATCCGTGGCTTGGATTGTACATCCCGAATTAACTACAATAATAATAAAGGGGCTAAGCCTGTTACAATCTTTACAATTACCTGCATTTTTTACATCAATTTTTCTACTTTGTCTGTAGTTTGCTTTACATTTTTTTATTTCACTAATAGTAATTTATGTTGTTAAATTCTTATTCATCGATATTCTTTTACTTGTATAATATAAAGTCATTATTTCAGTCTTATTGCTCAGAAATGGACTTGGTTTATTATTACGATTACCCCAGCTCATCCATGCATTTCTCCATCCCATATATTGTATTATCACTAATAGATACAACAACACGCGATTACAAAAAAAAAACATTTTAGAAAATCTCATTTGCATAAACTATCAAATTGGCTTTGAAGTTTGTCACTGCACGAATGATTAATATCCATTCGGAGTTTCAGTAATAATTTTCACCTGCAGTTTTTCAAAGTCGTATTCAATTTCCTGATAATACGTGTAGAAAAGATACAGACAGTATTTGTCGCGATTAGTTGTCTCGCAGCTATCAATTTCGTTGAATGTCAGCGGTCTTGTTTTCCGGTAACAGTCCGAGTAATTTTGTAAAGAGCCAGTTTTTCTTGCCGGAGACAAACATTCCCTCTTCCTTTCGTGAAAAACGATCTAAAACGAATGCGGTTCGCGTTCCGATGTAATCCAATCAGGATTGATCTCGATACGAGGCGCTCATCCGTTCTGCATTCCGACGTCAATTTAAATATTTAGTACTCGTTCCCACAGCCGAAAATAATAGATGATTATACCGTGGTAACAATAAGAGCAGTAAATCAATTCTCGAATTTCAACAGAATATAAGAAATGTAGTTATAAAAAATATAGTTACTGAACTTATTAAGCGGTCTTACCAGTGTGACCGCCTAAAATTTAGGCCATTTTTCGGAATTGTTTTTAACCCTTTCGCTACGACCGTACGGTCCGCCGTACCAGCGCATTAAATAAATATGACTGCGTGTACCACCGGTGGTACACGTGGCCTGACGATCAAGTTTACCGTGTACCACCGGTGGTACACGTGGCACGGAACATGTTAAATTATCAGCTACAAATACACGATAAGCTGACTTGCTAATCACTATTGTCACCGTGATTAAACATTTTTTGTAATTTTTTACAGTCATTCTTCCACGACGTTCAAGCAACCAAAATAACAATTGTGGAATGTATTATCACACACAAAGGAGCCTGTAAAACATCCATCCCTTTCACTTCGAATACTGAAGCATCTCAGGTTCCAAAGAACCCCAAGTTCAATGAACCCACAGGTGCAGGTTTCCTCGAGTGAAATTAGAAAAATTCGTAACCGCTCTTGACTACTTTGAACAGGAAACGTGATATAGTTTCAGGAATTAGCTTTCAGTTAAGAGGAGAGAAAATCGGTACAGTAGCGTTGGTAAACATTTAGAGAACGTGTAAACTGTTATATCAAACTTGTGTAAACGTTATATCCAAATAACCTTTTAATGAAAAGTGAAAAACATTCGACAAAGAGTTATACTTCGGTCCATGATACTGCATTCAAAATAAATTCAAATTCTGAATAAGCATAATAAAATCGCTTGGTATTTCTTTTTCCCATACAACAAATTTAAGAAATTAGATTATTAATGATTGCATATACAATGCCTCAAAACTCTCAAAATCATGCATTTTTACAAAAAACTTGTTTTTCGGAAACAGTACATTTGGGATATGCTTTTAGCATAAAAATTCTATAAGAATCACACAGTGGATATTGCAAACAAAGTTTGTATCGTATATTATAACACGCAGATAAAAAATACAAATAGTATCTAACGCGATTATTTATCAAATAGTGCTACGCAGTACACAGGAGCCTCCTACAATATAGTCCAATAATATATGTTATCATTTGCGCTAGTTACTGTTTAAACATGAAAACTACCTTTCCTAGGTATCACTATACTAATATTTAAATACGTTTAACGTTATTTGATACGCTATCAGATTTTCCTTTTAGCTGTTTATCAGCTGTATCTTATCTATTCAATTTTTATACATGTTCAAGTTCAATTAGCGGGAGAAGACTGCTTGCGGCAGTCGCGTCACTTTAAACCTTACTTCGTTCCCCTACTATTATCACCCGGCATCCGTTCGCCTCTTTCATGCCCCCAGCATACTCCGTTTAAGAAAGCATTGGCAACTGGTCGTTGATTCAGTACGCAGTCAGCACATCGGCTGTGAAAAAGCGTTGCGTCATACGTCTGTTAAATGCCGTCCGAGATGACTGTAGTGCGCGTGAAGCAGGGCCTGTTGCGCGGTGTCGTGGACGAGAACGTTTACGGCGAACCGTTCCTGGCGTTTCGTGGCATCCACGTCGATTCCAATTGATGGTGGCCGTCGATTATCCAACTGGGACCCGCGACTTTGTAATATACCCTTTAACATACCCTTTTCTTAATTGAGTGTAGATGATATCCGCACATGATCGTTCATAAGCCTGCATTTCTTAAGCACTCGGTGAACGTGGATTCGAATGTGGCTCTCTCCTCACTACAGTTCGTAGGTCGCTGACCCGGATCCAAGAACCAAATTATTGCGTCGCGTAAAATTAATTTCGCGCACTAAATTTCTAATTCGTAAATAAACCTTCGACTTCGAAAAACTTGGCTCTCTCCTCACTATAGTTCGTAGGTCGCTGACCCGGATCCAAGAACCAAATTGTTGCACCGCGTAAAATTAATTTCGCGCACTAAATTTCTAATTCGTAAATAAACCTTCGACTTCGACGAATGATTCCCAGAAATTGGTAGATAATGCTTAAAACAAGATAGCTTAGACCACGGTCGATTGTTAAAAATAAGTCGGAGGGATCCGCATGTGTAACATGCGCCTCCGCACGTAATGCGTATTCGGAGATGATTGTTTGGAGGAATTAGCGGTCAACTAATTCCTCGAAAATTAGTACATAATTACGTATTCGCGAGAATTTTTAAATTAGCGGTCCGGCAATTGTTGGAGGACGTGTCCGGAGACGTGCGACCACGCGCCTGGAGGAGGCCTCCCTTATCTTTGCATGTTATTCTTACTCTTAATATAATTTGGGCTATTACTTTGGTTTTTTTTTTTAAATAAATTTGGTGTTCGATTCTTTTAGGGAAAACGTGAGTACACTTTATTGATGATACACTTATTATGATACTGCATTCAAAATAAATTCAAATTCTGAATAAGCATAATAAAATCGCTTGGTATTTCTTTTTCCCATACAACAAATTTAAGAAATTAGATTATTAATGATTGCATATACAATGCCTCAAAACTCTCAAAATCATGCATTTTTACAAAAAACTTGTTTTTCGGAAACAGTACATTTGGGATATGCTTTTAGCATAAAAATTCTATAAGAATCACACAGTGGATATTGCAAACAAAATTTGTATCGTATATTATAACACGCAGATAAAAAATACAAATAGTATCTAACGCGATTATTTATCAAATAGTGCTACGCAGTACACAGGAGCCTCCTACAATATAGTCCAATAATATATGTTATCATTTGCGCTAGTTACTGTTTAAACATGAAAACTACCTTTCCTAGGTATCACTATACTAATATTTAAATACGTTTAACGTTATTTGATACGCTATCAGATTTTCCTTTTAGCTGTTTATCAGCTGTATCTTATCTATTCAATTTTTATACATGTTCAAGTTCAATTAGCGGGAGAAGACTGCTTGCGGCAGTCGCGTCACTTTAAACCTTACTTCGTTCCCCTACTATTATCACCCGGCATCCGTTCGCCTCTTTCATGCCCCCAGCATACTCCGTTTAAGAAAGCATTGGCAACTGGCCGTTGATTCAGTACGCAGTCAGCACATCGGCTGTGAAAAAGCGTTGCGTCATACGTCTGTTAAATGCCGTCCGAGATGACTGTAGTGCGCGTGAAGCAGGGCCTGTTGCGCGGTGTCGTGGACGAGAACGTTTACGGCGAACCGTTCCTGGCGTTTCGTGGCATCCCGTACGCCAAGCCACCGACTGGACCGCTACGGTTCAAGGTAATAATTCAAAAAATAACAAACGCTTGTCAGTCTATTAACAGTTTAGGACAATTCACAATTTCAATTTCTATCCACTGTATTAACACTAAATCTACCGACATTTTATATGTATCTATTTCTATCGATGACGGTGATTCAAATAAACATTATATTCTTTTCCAGTTGATTATAGATATAGAATAATATACATAGGCAATAAAACACAAAATAATTATCATGTAATAATTCAATAATATAATAAAAAATAATCTCAAAAGCGATCATTTGACGTTCTGGTAGGTTTAACTGGTAGGTAAACAACCTACTGAATTAACTTAACTCTTAATCTAATGTTAAAATTAGGAGTCAAATGATATTATACAGTCTGCGATAACAGAAAGATAAGATATGGATAATTATTATATAAGATAAGGATAGGTAAATAAAAAGATAAATACACTGCGAACTTTATAGACTTATGAAATAATTAAGCGGTAGCATAAGATATGTAAAGGACAATTTATGTCGCAATATTTAAATGATAAGCGAAATTTTAATCTGGAATGCATAATTTTAACTGACTACTATGAATTATGTATTTTGCATAAAAATCTACCAACTGATAAAATTAGCAATGAACAGAATTGTTCATGAAAATCATGTTATGCTATAAAAGTTAACTAAGTGCAAATTGCAATACTCAGAGTATGAAGGAAATTGCTATGTAAGATTAGTATCATAAATATTTTAGTTTGCTTCTGCAGTCTATATAGCATAACAGTAACTCTTTTACACTCTCACAAAATTAGCAGCGAACAGAATTGTGTACTTGTGTTCGCAATTAGAAAATGGGCTAATGAAAAACGTAATCTGGTAGCAATTGATGAACGCTGTCAGATGATAAAACATAGGTCTACAGTGTTTTTGGTTGATAGAAAGAAACATCTGAGCATGGTCGTAAAACATGCACAGTCACGCTTGACGGATTTCACGATTACGTACATGCGATGCGTAACATCTCCTGGCAAGGTTTTATACGCCGTAGCAGTAATTAAATTCTGACTTAAAAACATAAAACTATTCTAACACCTATTAAGGACTGAAGATTGTACAATATTTGGTAACGATTAGAAAAGTAATTGGGAACAGATTCTCCGGAAATGGAATGAGGCAGATCCAATTTAAGAATCATTTAAATTAAGTTGAAATTCGTTACTCTTAAGGAGAGAAGATAAGTGCACTCGATTTAGCTGACGAAACTTTATCCTCATTAACAAGATGATACTCGACAGAGTTCCCAGTTCATCATCAATTGTTTTTAACGAGCAAAGTTCGCTTCAAGTGCTTAATAATTTATCGTAAACAAGAATTTTCAAAAATAATTGATAATAATTAATGATACCAAGACAAAAGGAGACTAATATCAACAATGACTTTACAAGATTTCTTGCAGCTGTGAACTATAGTGTTAAAGTTCTTAAAACATATTGGAATTTATAAATTGTTATAAAGACCACATTTAATTTTTATTTAAATTAGTTAGGCAGTGGATAAGAATAATTTGCAATGCATAGTTACTGTGATTTGTGGCTGGCAAAGGAAGTTGTTGTTCAGAAACACTTACAGAATTACCTCTCTTTGGCTCTAACACTTTTTCTGGGACACCCTGTATATTTAACAATTCCATAGTGCAACGCAGCAGTGTTTTTCATTGATGGGAATCTTAATCTCTGAATGTAGGATCCCCAACCACCGGAGCCATGGACAGGGGAGAGAGATGCCTCGAAATTTGGCGACGTATGTGCCCAATATGATTTTATGACCAAAGAAGTGAAAGGAAGCGACGATTGCCTTTACCTGAACGTGTACAAACCGACGTGCGATGCCCAAAAGAAACGCGCTGTCATGGTATGGATCCATGGCGGTGCTTTCATCCTCGGTTCCGGAAACGACGATATCTATGGACCTGACTATCTAATACGGAAGGACATTGTTCTAGTAACGATCAACTACCGGATAGGCGTCTTAGGTAAAACTGAAAATTTTAGAATGTTGTTTTCCAAGTACAGTGAAACCACCCTATGTAAATTAATTGAGGGACAAATGTGTTGTTGGATTCCAAGTTTCAGTAACACGTTTAAAGCTTAACGAGGTATTTAGTCGTTCTGAGCAGATAAATGATTAAATCTTTAATTCAATTGAACATCAATTAGTAATCAATGATTGCTTTTCCCTTTGGATTTACTAATCATGAATTAAAACTATTTATGTTCCTGACGCTTTTGTAAGGCACGAGTCGGAGACGGCAGACTTCGGCAGGTGGGCGCTCGACCCCAGCGATAGGTCGCTGGGTTGGCTGGCGGACACGGGGCGACCGCGCAAGGAGCGGTCGCTCTGGTTCCGTTGTTACCTCTCCTCGGTCGAATACGACCGTTAAAAGCGAGGGGCCCTTCGTGGAGATAGGGACTAATCGTGTTCCTAGGCTCGGGCGTTGTTGCCGCTGAGCGCGTCACCTGGGAAGGGTGGTCACTCTAGGGTAGTGGCTCGCCTGTCGCGCTCGCGGCTCGGCCAGATTAGCATGGGAAACATCAATTAGGTCGCGATTCGTACTTTCTAAGAAACTAGTCAATGGCGACGCGTCGCGTATGTATATATTAACTTTAAGTAGTTTCCCGTAATTTTGGAATCGTTGTTCTTGGCGTATGGTTTTCTCAGCGTGAGAAAAATGCGTTGAGTTTTTCCTGCGCCACAGGCTTGCCTGGGTGAATACGAGAACAACGAACGCGGCATTTGCAAACGATAAACTATTGTAAGATTGAATGTAGCTGATAAGATGATGAAGCGTCGACTAGGGCNTTTAGCATTATCTTGTTTCGATACGCGAGACGATAAGAATAAAGAAACACATTTACCAGTGAAAGCAACATCTCGACATTTATTTGGACACGAGGTCGTTCTCGTGCAACAAAGTGCCTTTATCGCCCGACCAAATGGCGACTTCCCAGAAGAATCTCGACGTCTTTCCTTGCTAACGTTTTATCTGAGAGCCATTCTTCATTCAGACCACGTAATCTGCACGAAGAAATTTGCAGAAAACGTTGAAACCCGGAAAGATGATATCATCTATGATTGTATCTGTTATAAAAAATTGCAAAATTGTTATGAGATAGTCAAGAACAATTATACGCGTTTTTAACATCGACATTCCTGAAGAATTTCGACGTTTTTTCTAGGTAACTTTGTATCAAAGTCATTCTTTCTTCAGACTATATAATCTGCACGAAGAAATTTGCAGAAAACGTTGATATCCGAAAAAGTTATAACAGATCACATCTGTTATTCAATTACCAGAATTGTTATAAAATATTTAAGAAAGACTATGTGCGTCTTTTTACATCGAATAGTGTAAAGTTCTCGTTAAATAGTTTTTACTACTGATAGGTTTCCTGAACGTGGAGCACGAAGTGGCGACAGGTAATCAGGGTTTGAAGGACCAAGTGATGGCTTTGAGATGGGTGAAGGAGAACATCTCCAGTTTCGGCGGGGATCCAGACAACGTTACAATTTTCGGAGAAAGCGCCGGTTCCGCGTCTATACATTACTTAACAATATCTCCTTTAGCTGAAGGTACGATTTCTGTTGGACTTTATTATAATAAAACGCAAGTTACAATAAATATATTGAGAACATGTAACGGTACGAGAACGCGTCTAATCGTCACGACATATGCTGAAGAAATGGTGTGGTAATGACAAAAAAAGAAAAAAAAACAAAAAAAATGAACATTTACCTACCGTCGCGAGAATCCGTAGTGAGCAAACACCAGTTTTCGATTACTGTCCACATTTCTCTCTTTCTCTCTAGTGCTTTCCATATTTTCGCCACTACTCCGATCTACGTATTCGGTTATCCCAGTACCTCCAAGCGTGATCATACAGTGAATTAAGTCTTTTAACATTCCAAACAGTATGAAGTTATTTGATCCAGTATTAAAAAACTTATTCTATCTCGAAGTCTGTCGAAATGTTAATAAGAATCACTGTATATTTTTGCTTTGCAATCTAACGATTAACAATTCCTAAGAGATGAAACTCAAACTCAGCGTTACGGCTGAACAAGCGTTTAAAAGTCTAGCCGATTTCAACTGGCTGAATAGCCGGGCAAGTTGCAAACCCATTTTCTTTTATGCATTCTCCGAGCACTCGGTCTCGTCCGTTACATTCGCGCCATCGAGGCTCGTGCTTTATCTGCTCCGTCAACCAGAAATGCAAAATTCTGTTCCGCGTCGTCCGCGTTCCGCAGGATTGTTCCACAAGGCGATCGCGCAGAGCGGAGTAGCGGTTAATCCGTGGGCCTGCACAACCTTGGAGCCCAAGCTGCGCGTGTACCAACTTGCTGCGAAACTTGGCGAACATTCGATCGTGCCCGAGAACGTGATCAAGTTCCTGCAGACGGTAGACCCGGTGAAGCTCATTGCCACCGAAAGGGAATTTCTCACGCCAATGGTAAGCCGAGCCATGAGATCCGAGGAAAGAAATTCGTTCGCATTTCAAACAAATTCAATTTTATTTGTCTTCAATTAATCAGCGGAGATTGCAATTTTCTGACAAACTTCGATGTCCAATTGAAATGAAACAAAGAATGAATCTAGAAAATCCATGCATATTTAATGGAACCTTGGCACAGAGAAGGAATACAAAGTTAGTTGAACAGAGTTTATGTTGCATAATGGGTAATGCAGATACGATTGGATGATATCGATAAGATATGCGAAAGAAAATTAAGTTTGCAAAACAGGATCGTTAAGGGAACGATTGCAAAAATCGCAGATATAAAAGGGATGTCGATGGGAATTTAGATATGCTTCCAATTTCCCCTAATCTCTTGCATTACGAGTTTTATTGAGAGACGTATGAGTCCGTTCCAACTTCGAACGTAGAATCTTAAGTTTCCACGTAAACAAAATGACCTCACTTGTATAACATCTCTTCCGCTTTAAGATAATTAGAAGAAATTCGAATTAAGGAATGATTTAATTTTTAATTAAAAAATACTCCAATTGTAATTTTCTAAGGTACATAAACTTTTGGGACTGACTGTATAGCCAATACATCCTTCGAGGCTTAAAAACTTGTTTAATTTAACAGAAACATTAACGTCCCATGAAAATTTGTTACTGACAATGAGTAACACTTTCCAATCTTTGGCAATTTTCGATAGCAAATTCGGTGCCATATTTTTTTTTAAGTAGTGTAGAATGTTCAGACGGAGTAAGGTATTCATACATATGTACAACAAAGATTCAATAGAATATTCATGTAGTAGTGAATGTTCAACGAAAAGTCGACTATATATGGAATAACAAATCATGCAAGACGGAGTTCTACAATCGTAAATTAACTTCTTATGTAACCACGTTACGGACTCTAATCTATTTTAAATTAATTTCTTGTTCACTTAAGATTGTCGTAAATATCGCTCAGTTTAGCATTATCTTGTTTCGATACGCGAGACGATAAGAATAAAGAAACACATTTACCAGTGAAAGCAAAATCTCGACATTTATTTGGACACGAGGTCGTTCTCGTGCAACAAAGTGCCTTTATCGCCCGACCAAATGGCGACTTCCCAGAAGAATCTCGACGTCTTTCCTTGCTAACGTTTTATCTGAGAGCCATTCTTCATTCAGACCACGTAATCTGCACGAAGAAATTTGCAGAAAACGTTGAAACCCGGAAAGATGATATCATCTATGATTGTATCTGTTATAAAAAATTGCAAAATTGTTATGAGATAGTCAAGAACAATTATACGCGTTTTTAACATCGACATTCCTGAAGAATTTCGACGTTTTTTCTAGGTAACTTTATATCAAAGTCATTCTTTCTTCAGACTATATAATCTGCACGAAGAAATTTGCAGAAAACGTTGATATCCGAAAAAGTTATAACAGATCACATCTGTTATTCAATTACCAGAATTGTTATAAAATATTTAAGAAAGACTATGTGCGTCTTTTTACATCGAATAGTGTAAAGTTCTCGTTAAATAGTTTTTATTACTGATAGGTTTCCTGAACGTGGAGCACGAAGTGGCGACAGGTAATCAGGGTTTGAAGGACCAAGTGATGGCTTTGAGATGGGTGAAGGAGAACATCTCCAGTTTCGGCGGGGATCCAGACAACGTTACAATTTTCGGAGAAAGCGCCGGTTCCGCGTCTATACATTACTTAACAATATCTCCTTTAGCTGAAGGTACGATTTCTGTTGGACTTTATTATAATAAAACGCAAGTTACAATAAATATATTGAGAACATGTAACGGTACGAGAACGCGTCTAATCGTCACGACATATGCTGAAGAAATGGTGTGGTAATGACAAAAAAAGAAAAAAAAAAAAAAAAAATGAACATTTACCTACCGTCGCGAGAATCCGTAGTGAGCAAACACCAGTTTTCGATTACTGTCCACATTTCTCTCTTTCTCTCTAGTGCTTTCCATATTTTCGCCACTACTCCGATCTACGTATTCGGTTATCCCAGTACCTCCAAGCGTGATCATACAGTGAATTAAGTCTTTTAACATTCCAAACAGTATGAAGTTATTTGATCCAGTATTAAAAAACTTATTCTATCTCGAAGTCTGTCGAAATGTTAATAAGAATCACTGTATATTTTTGCTTTGCAATCTAACGATTAACAATTCCTAAGAGATGAAACTCAAACTCAGCGTTACGGCTGAACAAGCGTTTAAAAGTCTAGCCGATTTCAACTGGCTGAATAGCCGGGCAAGTTGCAAACCCATTTTCTTTTATGCATTCTCCGAGCACTCGGTCTCGTCCGTTACATTCGCGCCATCGAGGCTCGTGCTTTATCTGCTCCGTCAACCAGAAATGCAAAATTCTGTTCCGCGTCGTCCGCGTTCCGCAGGATTGTTCCACAAGGCGATCGCGCAGAGCGGAGTAGCGGTTAATCCGTGGGCCTGCACAACCTTGGAGCCCAAGCTGCGCGTGTACCAACTTGCTGCGAAACTTGGCGAACATTCGATCGTGCCCGAGAACGTGATCAAGTTCCTGCAGACGGTAGACCCGGTGAAGCTCGTTGCCACCGAAAGGGAATTTCTCACGCCAATGGTAAGCCGAGCCATGAGATCCGAGGAAAGAAATTCGTTCGCATTTCAAACAAATTCAATTTTATTTGTCTTCAATTAATCAGCGGAGATTGCAATTTTCTGACAAACTTCGATGTCCAATTGAAATGAAACAAAGAATGAATCTAGAAAATCCATGCATATTTAATGGAAACTTGGCACAGAGAAGGAATACAAAGTTAGTTGAACAGAGTTTATGTTGCATAATGGGTAATGCAGATACGATTGGATGATATCGATAAGATATGCGAAAGAAAATTAAGTTTGCAAAACAGGATCGTTAAGGGAACGATTGCAAAAATCGCAGATATAAAAGGGATGTCGATGGGAATTTAGATATGCTTCCAATTTCCCCTAATCTCTTGCATTACGAGTTTTATTGAGAGACGTATGAGTCCGTTCCAACTTCGAACGTAGAATCTTAAGTTTCCACGTAAACAAAATGACCTCACTTGTATAACATCTCTTCCGCTTTAAGCACACTACCAATTGTCTCAACTGCACTTATATTCAAATACACGTTAATTATAGAAAATAATTAACAGGAAATTTTATGTTCCACTCGTCATTACGTCCATTGCTAAGCAGAAAATCTTGCAGATCACTAGTAGGGTAATTCGATGCTAATTTATACACATTGCAATTTCTCATCTCGTAGACGCAACAGTATTAAATGGACTATCACTGCTTACGTTAGTGAGCATAAATTACGTTAGTGTGCGTTGGATAACGAATCTTCAAACTCAATTTTCTCGAAAATGATGCCCCGTATGAAAAAACTGTATTCCTTGTTTTCGACTAGATTTTATGTGAAGAATCATCTCCTTCCCACGATTACCACGAATTCGCAAACACCCTGTATTTACTTCCGATACAATTTTGCTATAAATCCACAAAATCCTCTGTCAGATCAAATAATTAATTACAAATAAATAAAAAATTTATACTTCGATTAATTTTACAGCAACGTTTCATCGAATTCGGAGTATTTATCCCGAGCATCGACGACAAATCTCCAAATCCGTTCATGCCGGAGCATCCATTGGTGATGTCTCAAAAGGGAGTTCAAGTACCTTTAATAATTGGTTTCAACAGCAACGAGGGTTCATTATTCCTGGGTCGTAAGTCATTTCGTTTCATCATAGGATGTGAAAAACAGTACATAAAATTTCCTTATTTACATAGCGTTTGGAAACAGTTATGGATTGCCAGTGAACCGTCAAAACGATACCGAGAAGGACCTCGCGACGATCAGTGAGAACTTCGGATTGGTCATGTTTCTGGAGCTGCAGAAACGACTTGAAAGACGCGGTATCACTCCGAACGATGTGAAACGCTTGTACTTTGGCGACAAGCCGATTCGCAAGGAGATGATACAGGAATACGCGAATTACGTAAGCGACTCGTTCTTCCTTCAAGGCATTTACGACGTGATAGATATTCAAACAAAAAAGTCCACGCAACCGACGTACTTCTACAAATTCGTATTCGATACGAATACGAACTTGAAACTCGCGTACAACATTACCC